GTGCCGACCCTGCCACCGTTGCATCCCACACTCTGCGGTCCTTGAAGCGTGTGGTGCCTCCAGCGGTGCCTGGCATCATGTTCCTGTCTGGTGGCCAGTCCGAGATCGAAGCGACCATGAATCTGAATGCCATGAATTTGCAACCCAATCCCTGGCACATCTCCTTCTCCTACGCTCGTGCGCTGCAGAACACCACCCTCAAGACCTATGCAGGGAAGGACGAGAACGTGGTGGCAGCGCAGGCAAAGCTGCTGATCCGTGCCATGGCGAACTCCAAGGCGCAGCTGGGTCTCTACGACCCTGCCACGGCGGACGAGGATGCGACGGCAGCAGAAGGGATGTACGTCAAAGACTATGCCTACTGAGGCTCCAGGTCCCGGACTTTAGCGAGACCGTCTGTGGCAGGAGTGACACTCAACGCTTGTCCCGATCCTTCCCGGAAGGTGTTGCAGTTGAGGGCCGCAGAGGGTCCCAATTTGTGCAAGCTGAGCAATTCGGATTATGCAATTTTGCACAGCAGGCGGCTTGACAGACAAGTGCGCTGCCAGAGCCGTATGTATTTACCTTTTGAAGAATGTTGCAAGTGGGCTCAAGCCAATGGGAGCTGGTCATCACAAGCTGATTGGGAAGACTGGGTCCAACAGGGTGAGGGCCTTTGTGCTTACATCCCAACCCGCCCAGATGAGTTTTTCTCTTTCACTGGGGAATGGAGGGGGTGGGCTCACTTCCTGCGAGGGGAGGAGCCAGATGATTTGTAACGGTGAAGCTTCGACCAAGAGGCGGAGCATCATCAGTTGCGTAGACTCTTACCTAGATTTGTACAGAGTGCGTGACAGTGCTCAACGATCCTAGGCTTACTTCGAAAAGAAGCTTCACTTCGTGCATATTACTTCCCCGAAATAGCAAACTCAACTCAGGAAGCCCTGTCAAGAGTCAATGTTCCACTTGAGGCATTATGCCTTCCTGGCGCACGTTCTGGGTGTGAGTGGCGAGGCCTTAGCATCCGAAGGGCTTTTTAGAGCCAGAGTGTTTTAGAGCTTAGGCTTTCGAGGTTAAGGGTTAAGGATGTATGTAAGGTTTCATGTTTCTGGTGGAGGATGCATCTTGTGTGTAATCGTAGTTGGTCGGCAGAGATTGTTTGTGCACCTTGGTATTGCCCCAAAAGCAGCTTAGTCTTGAATGAGCAGAGGGCAAGAAGGATCATAAATCTTGTTGCGAAGCTTTGAAGCTAGGCGATGCTGCGCACGCGAAGAGAAACTGTGAACATGTTGGAAGATACGCAGCAAGAGTAGAACGGATTTTTAGGTATTTGGCAGCACGTTGCACAAGGATGGCGATGTTTACAGTAAGGACCAGAGTCTGCAGGTATTTGGCTGGATACATTGATGATGGTGGCCCGCGGGCCGAGCATTCACACTGATCCTCTTTGTGCTTAGGACTGAGCATCAACACGCACACAAATCGAATGCCAGAACTCGCCCTCAGGGAATTGCAAGTGGCTGCTTGCAAAGCTTGCTGTGGCTTAACTGATGGGGTGTTACTTTAGTTCCAGAGCTGTTCTCCGAAGCTGCATTCATGCCGAAGCACCCCTGGAGCTTCAGTGTCAAAAGCCCTGAAGTCCCCAGACCTAAGCATATAGCCAGGTTTGCGGAGGCGCTGGTGGCTGGATAATGTAGCCTGGTCAGCATCCGGTTAGTTCTCTGAAGGCGACATTTTGAGTGGTGTGCCGTTGCACCAGTAAGGATGTTTTTCAGCCTGTGCACCGACAGGTTGCATGTTTCAGTAATTTTCAGTATATGCACACAATGAGCTCAGCTCAATGGCTTTTGAGGTCTTACTGCATTGGGCGGGAGATCCTCTTGCACGTGTGCCGGGCCTGATTCAACCTGACCAAGTCAGTTTGCGCCTGATCTGGTCTGCACAATATCTTTTGTTTTGGCATGGTCTTAGTGCTGTTCTGTGTCCAGTAGTGTTTCAAGATATGTCTGTGGCCGTGATGCAAGAGGGTCTGTGTCCGGCAGTGTTTCAGGACGTATCTGTGGCCGTGATGCAAGATTGGTTTACCCTTGATAAACAGATCACTTAAACGTGGCCTTCAACACGAGCTTCTTTGTCTTCGTAGAGTTTGTCGAATTGGAAACATTTCAAGGTATAGCCAGGTGATCTTAGCGGAGCTGTTCCTACTGTAACACTACCCCATGCCCACCAGAACACATGCATGCGCCCCACCCCCCCCCCAACCTAGGACACTTCTAGTAGCGGGAATTATTGGACTCCCCGCACGAAATTATATGTGATGCTGACAGTGCCCTTAAGCTGATGCAGCCTGGCATTTCCAGCATCAAGCTCCCTCCTGCAGTTAAGTTTTGTAGCCTGCGACCTCCAAACATGCCAGTTTGCCGCAGAGAAGATGGCGACCTTGAAGAAGGAGCCACGTGTCGCAAAAGAGCAATTCTCATGCAGACGGACGGCCATTGGAGTAGCAGGATGTAGCAGGTGTGGGTGGTGATGGTGGTGATGGTGGTGTGCAAGGAGGGAGTGTATAAACGAACAAGTGCTACTAGCTGTGGCACATCCCGGTATCTATGAGGAGATGGACAAGTTCCTCCGTCTTTCAAATGGATAGAGAAGTGCGGCATGATGTTTGTGGTAGTTTGGCCTTCCACCGGAATCGTGCTGCAGCTAACAGCTTCAACTGGGCTCCAGCATCAAACGGGATGCAACAGAAGCATTTCTTGGAACAAGGCTGAAGGAAATGTAGGCTGAAGGACATGTACACTCTTCTTGAAACGCGTTTGGAATGAAGCGCACAGAGAAGCCCGCTACTACGCATGTTCATAAGATGAGGATGGCTACCACCATGGCCCTGCTTTCGCTGCCGCTGATTCCGGTGCGCTGGGAGCTGCATTGTGTCTGGTTTAGGTGCTTGGGATTCCGTAGATAGGGGATGCTCAGCCAGAATAGTGGTCTAACAAGTTTTTTATTTGTTGTCGGGGTTGCAGCAAGAAAAGGCGAACCAGGCAGGTGGTTGTTAAAGCTACTGTCCCTCTTTCTGATAGTCCGGCACCTACACATAGTATGTGGGTTACAAAAACGCTGAGGTTAAATCCTAACTTGTCCATTCATGCCAGCCAGGCTGATGACTGGGCCAAGGGCTTGGCCCGCGCCAAGAAATTTCTTGGCATGAAGGCCATCCGCGATTGGCATGTGGATAGAGAGGGCCCAAAAGAAGATGGTATGAGCTGGGAGTTTCACACAAGGACCTGCATATAATCTTCAAGAGTGACCTGTACGAATTCCACGTAATGCCAGTACGTAAAGTCTTTATCTCTCGGGTCAACCATGGTACCCAAGCTGTTAGATATGTGTCCTCCGTTAGAGTTTGTGTTTGGTGTACGTCGGGGTTACATCAGCATTGGGGGTTCTTGAGTCTTACAGTGTGCTAAAACATGGTTTATGTTCTTGGATTGTGTGGTGGTGCGTAAACATCAAAAGGTAGTTGGGATTTCCTGGTTTTGGGTGGGTTTCTCAATATTTATGGGTACCTAATTTTTTCAAGGGTCTACAGTGGCTGGATATGATGTATGTTTTTATTTGAGAGCTGATTCAACAAAGTCCCTGTGAGAGCTTCCCAGACATATTCTTAGGTCTAGGTACCTTCAATGTTCCAAGCAATCTAGTCGAGAATATGGCTCCTTGGAAATTCTCTAGGAGTGTTTCTCAGAACTAGCGGTCCTGCACTCGCCGTCCGGATGCCCTTATGCTTGTGTATATCTGAGACAATGAACTTGCTGGTTCTTAGTAGGGACTAAGGGTACATATTACATAGGGATTCGATCCCCGTATTCACCGCTAGGAACCAGTATGCGAAGGGTATCTTTTTCTTTTGGGAGACACTTGTCTTACCAAGCGCCAGAAGAGCACTGGGCAGCCTAGGGGCAGTGTTCTGACGGTGTCTTGAGATTAAGTATTACGGTGGATTTTAAACATCCTGTATGACCCTAAGTGCGTTGTACCTCGGGAATTATGGTATTATAGTATTGTAAGGTCATGCAGGTATCAACACTAGGGTCCGAAAAGGTTGCAAGCGTGGATGTAGGGTGAAGCCGGGCTTAGGCATGGGGCTTGGATTTGCAGGTTCAGGGTGCACCACCAGGAAAGTTTTTTGGATCGCAGGTGTCCCCTACACTGTGCCGAACCAGGCATCACCTAAATCAGAAACCGCAGCAATGCTGGTTGAGTGGTACGTGATTTTCCTTAGCAACAGCGTGCGCATTGCACTTTGAAAGTCTGCAGAGCCATTCCGTCATAGAACAGCCTGTAGCATGAACCTCTAAGCAACCTTCATGCTAGCTTGCCCTGGACTGCAGCTTTTTTCTTGTGGATGCTTCGATTGCGGCATGTGAAGGATAGGTTTCCAACAAAGCAGGCTTTGAGGCATCAGAAGTCTGAACCGGGTGGACAGTCGTTGAAATCCGCACAGTCACCACTGCATTATTCTGAGCCAGATAATCACTTCGTGAGGATTCGTGCTTCAAATCCCAAATCCCCAGCGCGAGGCCCCAAAGCAAAGTCTCCCTCAGCCGGGGAATGCATTGAACCAGGTGCCGGAGAAGGCGGAGTAAACTGTGAGATTGTGCGCGCATTTGGCAGCGCAAGAGGGCCCGATGTAACCTTGCTTGAAGCACAGCGCTGTGCTATGTAGGCGGCACTTACTATCTCAACCTAAGTCATGCCATGGCTTTATTGCCGACTTGAGCCTCATTGTCCTTGTGCGTCTGAAAGCCTTGTCATGTCAGCCTTTGATTGGGAAGCAACATTCGTGGCCATATCGTTTCACGTGCGTGCAGAGACAGGTCCTGTGGTTGTAAGTCGCAATCCGCAGGAGCTTAAAATGAGGCTGTCTGGCTTTGACATGAAGTTGGGAGCTTCTTGTGCTTGGTGCTGAGAGATAACTGGTGCGATGCCTCTGTGCTGCGATGAGTTCTGTGTTATATATAGACTCCACTCACAAGTTGCAAACCTTGACTTCCAATCCTGTCCCCAGAGGTCAAGGGACTGAAAGA